ACGCTAGCTTTCCCAAGGCAGACAAACTTAGAGTGGTTACAATCCGGGTTTAAATCGCGCTCAAATTGTTTTGATTTTGACAAAATATTTACACTGAAGCGAAGAGCATAATAGGACCCCTTTAAATTTCATATGAAAACGGCGGCAGACTTCGATCGGCTCCTCCCCGTCTTTCAGCGAGTTCTTTTTCAATCCCGCAGAGCGACAAACAGAGGACAGGGTGTGTGTTTATCGGTAGATTGTTATAATATCTGCATCTGTGCAGTTCTTTGTCATAATTCCAGTTACAAAATATCATGGGGGAGCAATAATTGGTTTCCCATCTTCTGTAGCCTAAGTTTTCACTGCGTTCACCCCTCATCACACCACAGCTGTTTCCTCCAAAATGAAGCACATATGAACGCATAGGGTACTTTATAAAACGATCATGTTGCCATTTTCATTTGAAAATGTAACTTTCAATATAATACATATTCCAGTGCATGTGGCAAGAGGTTTGCATACTTGAGCTAAGGAAAGAGGGTTGTACTAGAAATGCAAACAGTAAAATTTTGGTGTTTGTACAGTAAACAGGTTGTGTGTGTGAGATCATGAAGTCTTGAATTTGGCTTATTCAGTACTCAAATGTTATACCTAACTACCCAAAAATGACAATTCTATCGTTATTTACTCACCCTCAAGTTGTTCCAAACCTGTATGGCTTACTTTCCTCTGTGGGACAGCTTCACTAGAAATGCAAACAGTAAAATTTTGGTGTTTGTACAGTAAACAGGTTGTGTGTGTGAGATCATGAAGTCTTGAATTTGGCTTATTCAGTACTCAAATGTTATACCTAACTATGCAATATACGACCCCTATTAATCAAAAATTTTTTTATCTTATACATAATTTTTTATTATTAGGCTATTATTGTTATTAAACCCTCACTGGGGGCTGAGCCCCTCTAAAATGAAAACCCTAGAATCGCCCCTGAATTTCACCCAAAAATGACAATTCTATCGTTATTTACTCACCCTCAAGTTGTTCCAAACCTGTATGGCTTACTTTCCTCTGTGGGACAGCTTCACACTTTCAACTGTTTTTCACCATACAATAAAATTTTTGTGTGTTCCAAAATAACTTTTCAACTTTGATTGTATGTACAACAATACTCTGAGACTTTTTTCAAAACATCAGTCAGGAGAGAAAAAAAAGAAGCACAAGCAAAAGTCTCCATTTGCTCTAAATTCAATCTCTTTGCTGTCTATAGGAGAATCTCATTTGTGACTTTTCTTTCTTATAGGACCAGAATCTACAATGCTACAGTGTCTCGCATGAACCCTTCTCTCCGCTATCACCAACACTACAGCTGTGAAATCTTCATTTTTCCTCTGCCACAACTACATTGAGACTCAGTTCACCTCACAAAAGAAACGGGCCTCTCCTGATCCAAACCTTCAAGAGATTGGTGAGAGATTGCTTCATTTTTTTAAAGGAGAGCTGTCATTTTTCATGAGGCAGGTTGTTTTTCCCCTGCCATCGCTGTCCGTGTTCACTGTACAGTGCAGAAGGAGACAGCAAGAGGAGCAAACACTTCTGCAGTAATTGGGTACAGACCAAGAACTTTGGCGTGGACCAGCGTAAGCCGATGTGAGCCTAGTAGGAGCGGAGTAAACATAAAAAGGAAGGCAGCAGGGGAGACTGTCGGGGTCCGCAGGGACTCGCACAAGAACACAAAGCATTAACATAATGAGGCTGTTGGGGGTTGCGTAAACAATCTACCTCATTGTTCTACAGGTGGCACAACATATCCGACAGCGTCCAGCAGCCGTTTCTGAGAGCCTTTATTCATTCTAAACAGGTCTGCACATGGTCTGACGTGATGATCGATAGGGAAAAAGTAACGTTTTCTGCAATTTAATATGCAAGTCTTTGCTGGCTGCTCGCCTCACACACTATATGTTGATTTTGTTGAGTCATTGTAGATGCTTTCTGGAACTCTGCTTGAATTTTTATCAGACAGCGCTCTTTCACAGCCAGCAGCGGTCTCTCGCTTAGAAGCGTGAAACAGAATTTGCTGAATTCTGCGATGTGGCGCATTATGCTGTGGCATATTAAAAAGAGCCTATAATATGATATGACCTAGAGTCTAATCTACTCTCTAAGGATCCCCTATACACTGTAGCTCTGACCGATTCAGAATGTCCTGTTACAGTGAGTCCATCTCAATGAACCCTTAGCAGTACAGAATCATTATGGATGTTCTATAGAGATTTAAAGATAATTATCTTTATCTGTATGCAGAAGGAATATGTGGATGTGCCTTATAGTACCACCCCAGACCTTTTTTTGGCACATTATTATGTCTACCATGGTACTGAATGATCACATATTCATGTACCACAGTATTTACGTGGTATGGTATTCTAAGGTACTTCAAAAAAGGTCCAAAACAATATGGTAGTTAGTGCTGAAATATAGCCAACTACATTATGAAACAATACAGCACAATAATATTATATTTGAATCACTATTGAAACTGCTGTAAACCTGTTCTGATCTCTCTCGCGTGCTTTGCTTTTTCATTTAATTTTGTCCACTACAGTGAATCATAGAAGAGTCTTTAACTCTTAGATTACATGCTATGACACCAATGAACACAAATACAGTATAAGAACCTGAATATTGTTAGGGGGGAAAACTACTGTTATGGATATAAATAGTCTTTACCTGCAGCACAGAGTCATTCACAAGATGCACACGCAATAAAGAGCTGCTTCGTCGTTGACAAACGATAGAAATCATTAGCAAGTTTTGTTTTCTACAATAGACTGCAAGTAACCATCCACCTCATCCAGCGCTATATATATCCCATTATTATTTCGGTGTGAGAAATCACTGCAAACATAGTGTGTGAATGATCTGTCCAAATGAAGCAAACTAAGCAAACAATTTCAGACCTTTTTGCAAATCCGTTTGACCGATTACACCAAGAGAGTTATTCACGAATCTGGATTCACTTGTTCTGAAACTAAACAGCAGATAGAAAACATACAAGACTTGATTTATTATCAGAGAAAATTATTCTCAAGTTGGTATACATCGATCCCATTGACAAAAAAGGATTTATCAGTGAAATATTTACCAGGACAAAGTGGTAGTTCACTGGGTCTTGTGCCTCAGTAAAAAGGGTCTAGCGGTACCCCTGAACCAGGATATTGCGTCCAAAAACCCAGCGTAGTTTCTTCTCAGTGCACCTTCATTTTAGCAATTCTAGATGATCAAGACAAATTCTTTAAATCTACTGTGAAATTTAATTGACAGGGAAAGAAAACACAAATGAGTGGATTCCTAAATTCCTCCTCTCCTCCTGAGGCCAGATTTCCAGCTAGCCTGCTGGTTTAAACGAATATCCGATCGATTCTGAAAGAGAGGCAGGATTTCTGCGGAGCACAGATGCTATGCATAATTCTCCCTCAGCAAAAGCAAATGCATTATCGTTAGTTCTTTAATCAACGCAAAAACAACAAGCTCTCCGTTAAAGAGATTGGATATGCATTCATCCTCTCTTCAGGCTTTAAGTAAAACAATATTCAGTAGACACAAGCTAAATAACTGGCTGAGGTTTCCCCAGTAACAGGTTACGAAGTGTGACAGGCACACACATACACACACACAAACAGGACGGCACACATATGGCATATCACTGAGGCAGACTTTGTTTCAGGCTAAAGATATTCTGTTCAGCTCATGTTGGCAACATCTACTCCCTCAGCCCATCGCTCCTTCACTCCTGCCCTCATTCTCCACTTATAGCCCGCTGCCCCACTATCCTAAATTTCCAGCATCAGAAAAAAAGCAATCGGTACAGATGACAGATTGTCAGGCTCAGAGAGCAGGAAAATTAGGCAGGGGTGGGGTAATGTCAAGGAAGGGGATCCCACAAATCGTCTAGAGAAAAAGTGGGTTACTGGGGCTGCTGGGATTGGTGAACAACAATGTGGTGGAGACAAAACTGGAGAGACAATGATGATGACACGTTCTGGGCCAAAGAAAATGAGTGTGTGAGTGTTAATGTCTGGTATTTCTCAACCGTACTTGTCAGTACAGTGTCAAAGTACATACTAACAAGGCTTGCGGATCAGTACTAAGGTGTACTAAGTTTTAGGTGGTGGAAAATGCCTCAAAATACCAAGATCTGACATACTTTACTGTGATCGTACAGCATTGTTCCACCAATATGAGTGTGCTTGATTACAGTATGTATATAAAAGCCTGGTTATAATGTTTTTCTCTGTAATTTAATTAATAACTTAGGCCATAATCAAAAGAAATGTACATAACCATATATTTTTAATAACATAATTTAATGCCTGCTTTCCATGGGCAGTAAAAGCACATTATTTATTGTGCCAGACAAATTACATAACTTGCCTCTTTTCTGTGAAAATTTAGTTCATTTGCACTAAAAAGAAGGATAATTAATTGAACGCAACACTATTTCATATTAATCACCTGTTAAACTTGTTTTTGGGATGTGAAATTTGCTGCAGTCATTTGGTGAATTCGCCCAAGTCTGTAACATCAACAATGAACTCATCTGACAGCTGGTGAGCAATCTTTCCCAAGCCTTTAGAAACCTGTCCCACTTGTTTTCATTCATTCAAACAATCGCCCCGCTTTCCATATTAACGGTTCAAACTGACACACCTGACACAACATGTTGTGCATGATGAGGACTCATGATTAACAGTCTGACCTGTAATAGTCACACAAAGAATAAGCAGTAAGGAGTGTATGTGAAATGAATACAAATGTGTTGAACGCACACTACAGGAACTAGCCTACTAAATCTAGTAAATATTAAACTAGATTATTAACAGGAAAGGCAGAATGTTAGAAAAGATTGTGTCTCATTCAGTTACAATGTGCTTGACAAACTCATAACCTACAGCACAAAGATAAACCTGCTAAAAATGGACTTTAGCCTTGCTTCAGGTACAAACTGATTTTCAGAATGACTTGTTAGTGTTGGCCAGCACAAGCTCTGTAAAGGGTCCAGCCGGCCAATCAAGCCCCACTGAACATAAAGCATAAATGATCCCAGCTGCATTGTACAGCCTCTAATAGTAAAACAAACAGAGCATGACCATATTTACTGGTGCTAGACAGTGCCTATGTGCACAGACACACACATATACACAGCTCTCCCATTACTTAATGCAAACCTTGCAGCCAAAAATGGAGACTGCAGTTAATTTGGATGTATCGCTTCTGGACCACAAGCAGAGCAGTCATAAACATGATTTGTATAATTAAAGTAACATAGACAGAATATAGAATCAAATATTTGGAGGTGGGATTGAAGCATCTCCTTTGAGTCAAGGTTAGAAACAAGTTGATGATCATCAACCATAAGCAGGAACAAAAGGACAAGTGTCTCCATGCATCAACAACTGCCGGTAAGGCATACTAATGCAGCAATGATAACAAACGACTGCCCAGCTGGAGGGAAATAAATCCATCAAAAATCAAATGAGGGGATGGTTGATACTGTGAACACTACAGAAGGTCCATGTGTGAATTATAATGCGTCGATTAGGCACTTGCGTGAGACAACCTCAGCCAGCACGTGCTCGCTTATTGCATTTGTACGCAGGCAAAACAGTATGAAAAAGAGCTAGAGACCAACGCAATTTTCATAGGGCAATCTACGTTTATTTGAATAAAAACAGTTTTTTTAACGCACTAACTGAAATACAAAAATATGGACTCCAAAAACAGAAGAGTGTTCGCTGCGTTTGTTGGTAGCAATGAAAACAAAGGCTCGTGTGTTATCGCCTGTAGGGGTTTTAGAGAAACTATTGCAGCTGGACAGATGCGCAATAAATGAGCACCACATTTAATATTTAAGCTCTGGAGTTCAGTCAAATAAGAGACATGTGGCAAGCCGTTTTATTCCTTTAAACTAACTATTATACACTTTTATATTACCAATACTTATTTAAATTAGAAGTAGCCTAGTCCAATAGTGTCTAGTCTCTTTTTCGATTTTACTAGTACCCTACTTATTTATTCAACTAGTATTTTGATAGTAGTTAGTCACATTGTAATAATGACAAGTAACTATTCCATGGTACAAATTTTGGATCTGAGGTTCAGATATGAACCATTAAACTTTGACTAGTAACAATTCGTTAGGTACTAGTATCCATTTTTAGTTTACTAGAAGCTACTAATCAGATACTAGTACCCATTGATCTCAACTGTTACAAGTAACATTCTTCATCTAACTAGTAACATTTGCTTTTGACAGATGTAATCAAACAGAAGTCTTACTAGTACGATTGTTAGTACGATGTTACTAGTAACAATTGGAATACACACTACTAGTAACTATTCAAATGTTGCTAGAACAACAGGAGATAGATACTAGAAACCGTTTGAATAGTTACTGGTGAATAAGGAGTAGGCCTATTACTAACAAAAACAAATGCTAGTTAGTCTTAAGTTATAAATGTCAAAACGGCTTGCCACAGACATATGAACGCATCGTGGTCACCATCTGCCGCAGCAGGGCTCGGGTGCGAATTTGAGGGGGCTGTATCTGTTCATGGGCGATCTGTGTTGAGGGCTCACCTTATGCTTTATCTTTTTCCTTTTTAAAGGTACAGGGTGACTTTAGTGGGGCCATCGGTTCTCACAGCACAACCAAAAGGGGCGTTGTCTTTGCCAAAACATGTTCACACAAATACGCACAACCCTCCCAAAGTCCTGAAATAAATGTAAGCAGCCCTTGCCCAAGGCATGCAGAGAGTCCCAAGCACTCATTCCTTCCCGGTCACCAGCGACAGCTCCTTCAGAATGCCACTGGCGTCCACGCGCCGTCTCTCGCGTATCATCTCCTCCAGGCTGCGGAACATGAGCGTGTGCGCGGTGCTCTCGGACAGGTGCACCTTCAGAAAGTAGCGCTGCTCGACCGAGTGCGCCTCCCCGCCCGCTTTAAATTCCCGCTTGCCGAAACGGCACCAGGCTGCGAAACTTTCCGAGTTCGTCCAGCAAATCTCGCCGCTGCTGAGCCCCACGTGCCCGCTCGCGTTCTGCATCACCAAATCAGCTGGCAGCGGTCGGTAGCGATACCTATTGTTCACTATCCTGCCCTGCCGACCGCAGATGATCTCAAACAAGCTGTCCTTGCGGATCTCCCCCTTGTAGAGGTGAATAACCTGGTCCTCCCCTTCAAAGATCGCCCAGTGCGGGGGTTGTGAGTTGGCCACTAACTCCAGTAGATCCCCAGGTTTGCACATGGTCAATAAAGTTTTCACCGAATAAACATTCAGGTCCTCGTTCTCTCGCAGTTTGGAGTATATACATTCCTGGCAGCAGAACGCCGAGTACTCGATCTCGTTGAGCGCAACCGGACCGTCTTTGCTCGAGCTGTTGTTGTCTTTAAAGCTGTCCGACTGCGATCGTTCGTCCAGCTCTTCCTCCTCATCGGAAAAGAAATACGCCACGCCAACACGCAACTCGTCCTTCTCGATGCTCGATGGATCACCGGTGGGTAGCTCGCTGTAGTTCAGGTGGGTGATCCGGTCCAGTTGGTTTCCCATCAATAACAGGGCAGAGAAGAGACATGGAATACTGCTTCTGAAATACAAAAGGGCCATGTGAGTGTCATACTAGAGAGGCGGACTAGAATTATTCTGACGCGCCCAAAAATGCTGTCTAGGTACACAGCCATAGTAAGTCACCTCACAATACAATAAACCACGCGCACCTGGGCGCGTAAACAAGCCAGTCGCGCAGAGCGCGGCACAAAGAGGCAAAGGGCGAGTCATTGTTGAACTGCTCAAGAAGCTCTCGTTGATAAGTTCACAACACAACACCGCGAACGAACGCGTACCTGGACAATGGCTAATGGTCCTTTCTCTCCATCGGTGCTTGTGTTGTGTGTATCCCGTAAGGTCTCCAAAACAAAACGCGTTCGTCTCCCCCTTACGTGTCCTCCAAGGTACACTGGATTCCCTAACACTTTGGACCGCCGCACTTTAAATAGTCTAGAAAACTCCGCCCCGACCAGCAGAACCTGCCCTCCTGATGGCGATTGGTTCAGAGCCCTCATGAAAAACTTAAACCTTTGCTCAGAGGCTTATAATATTACAGCTGTTTGTGTTGTTCACAGCCTTCAAGACTCAAAGGGTTTGGCAGATTTGTCAAATGTAACAATAGTAAGTCTAGGCTTGAAATGAGAGATTAGAGGTTAGAGATTCATTATAAGGACATGTGGTTTCTGAATGCTTGATTAGCTCTGTCAAAACAAGTTAGAGCTTTTGTATGCTGGTGGAACACTTTATTGGTGCTGTTTTTGTGTTCAGTCCATAATGTTGGTATAATGTTGATTACCAATGACCACAAAAATAATTTTGACTTGTCCCTCATTTTCTTTAAATAAAGCGCAAAATTGAGGCACTTACAATGAAAGTAAACTTGGTTTAAAAAATAAAACTTACAATTTTATAAAAGCATACTCTTTCTTTAAAACCTAAGTATTATTTAAGTGTGATGTCATGACAACTAAGTTAAGAAACTGGGTATAATTTTGAACACAGAAAAGGTTAGTAAGCATTTTTGATGAATTTACGAGTAACACTTGACTATACAATAAGGTCTCATTACTTAATATTGGTTAATACATTAACATTAAATGAGCAATACATGGTAAGTATTTATTCATCTTTGTTAATGTTGTTTAATAAAAATTTTTTAAATAAAAATATAAAAATAAAAATCAACAAAAAATAAATCATATTAACAGAAACAGCTTTTAATTTAAATAATGTATTAGTAAATATTTAAATTAGTATTGATTAATACATTCTTTAGAAGTATTTTTCACTGTTAGTTCATGTTAACTAATGTAGTTAACTAATGTTAACAGATGCAACCTTATTATAAAGTGTTACCTATTTACAAATTGGCCCCATTCAGTTATTTTGTAAGTTCCTCACTGTAACCCAGATTATATATATATATATATATATATATAAAAGGAGGGACAAGATCAAATTCATTTTTATGGTAATAAGCATTATGCCACAAATGCTGTGGACTGAGCTTATCTTGCATTGAACCGGGTATATTCATAACATGACCTGAATCTATATCATAGGATAAAAGCTGCTTTTCTATCAGGTCTTGCGTGGTCCTCAGAATCCTTCATTTATCTCCCTCACACACAAGGACATATATAACACACACACTAGCTGTCATGAGACTCTGACAGTCAAGTGACTAAGTCCTTGCAGCATCGTCCAGCCATTCATAATCAAGAGTTTGCTGAAATGAAATTCCAGCCCTCATGCACAAACGCATGCACATTGCACACACACATACACAGTATTGACAATCAAGGCATTCTCACTACCATAATATGCCACACACAGACACATATTCCCACACAAACAAGGCACTCAAGTGGCAGGCTTGAAGTTGGAATGATTTAGATTATAATTATTCTGCAAAGACAGATCCAATTATCCACCTATGAAATGGATTGCCCTTGTGTCTCAGTAATACACCCATCTGTGGTTATGTAGTCTGCATGCGTGTTTAATATAGATGCTCTGCCTATGTGTGTGATGGTGAGAGAGAGAGAGAGAGAGAGAGAGAGAGAGAGAAAATCTATTTGAAAGGCAGATGCAGAGGAACCTGAAAGAATCCTGATGCTTTGGCACACACACACATACATCTACATACACACTCAGGTACACAGCGTACATCAGGTGTCAAGTGTGTGAATACTTGCGGTGTGTGTGCGAGAGAGTGACAGAAAAGAAATGGAAGAGAAGGATGTGAGGGAAATAAAGGGACAACACACAATATCCACAGGACTTCTACACTTTTCTTCGAAATATAGAGATGGTCCGTATTTGCAGTAAACAAGCATGCTGTAATCATATAAGAACACCAGGGAAAACAAGTCGAGCACAAACAAAGGAGAGGAGGAAAGAGGCATGAGAGGAGTGGAGGAATAGAAACCAGGAGAAAAATGGCTTTTGGTAACAATGACCATGTGGCAGTCTTGCATTCAATATATCTAGCTTGAAGGCTTTGAGAAAGCAGTATTTTATGGGCTTCATATAAAACTCTGCCAAGATAACTAATCATTCCCTCTATATGAGTTTAGCAGTTGGTGTATGTGAACCCATTTTGCAAGCATACAGATAAACACACTTGAATCTATCTTCTGCTCTAGCAGGTATAGAGTTTTTACCTGAAAGAGCTTCTTTTGTTGTTATTCCATAGAAAAGTGCAATATATACAGGGGTCCAAAAGTTTGAAACTATATTAAAAATATGAGATTTTGTTTTCCATTTAAACTTTGGGGACAAAAAAGATTGAGGATTTTTAAAAAGTTAAAACAAGAAACATTCTGAAGAAAAAAAATATTACGGATTATTTTATAGGTCACTCATCAAATAAGTACATTTGTGACCCTGATCATGTGACTCTCTGTACAAATGGTCAGATGTACTGTATGTAGCTATGTAGCTACTTTAAACTAAATTGAAACTGGGCAGATGTTTTCCTTCCATTAAGTACAAGATGCTCTTTGATTTATTCTCACATCGTGCTTGATTACGATCATCAGGTTTTACACAAACTCGTGTAGTTCGAGTGCTGTCATTACAAAAAACAAACAGACAAAGAAGTCACCCACCTGGGCTGTAAATGTGAGTTTGCTGTCTTTTCCAATTAACAGTGTGAAATAATGTCAAGAAGTGTATCTTGCTGAGTTTTCCTCGCAGCCGTACAGTGCAACCAGTGTGTCCGGATTTACAAACAAATGACTCTTATGAGTCGGTTCTTTTAGCGAAACAACAACATACAGCGTGACCAGCAGTATGATTTGCGAACAAAGGGAACGTGTGAGTTGGTTCTTTTAAATTGTTTTAAAATTATTTTGTGATCAGATAACTGGACCACATATAGAGGTATTCAAAATCCACTTAACCACATACATTTTTAAGTGGAAACGTTACACACTGCTTTTCATTGTTCTTATGTGTAAATGTACTAGATCAGGGGTGTCAAACTCAATTGCTGGAGGGGCGGAGCCCTGCAGAGTTTTGTTCCAACCCTGCCAAAAGCCCTTATATTCTCTTACATGTTCAAAAAAGCACGCTTTATATATCAGTTTGTCCTTAGCTCAGTCACAGATTTTTTCATACTTCAAGTGGTTCCTCAGAAGCTCTTTAGAGGGAATATTAATTAAGATTCTACTAGAAATGGTGTTGTCGGAAATGCAGACTTTGGGTCTGGCTTGACCTAAAAATATCCTCTGCTCTTAAATTCTCTGTCACAGACACACAACAATAACATTGCCAGTCAGTCTCTTTCAGTCATGAGTCACAGGTTCTGAGAGCCGTGGGTGAGCGTTCCAAACTGTGCCTGTTCTTTAAGGGCCCTGACCCTGCTTTAGACCGTACAGCGAGTTCAGCTTCCATGCCAAAATGACAATTTAATCCTCACTCTCGCAGGACACCACAGATACTTTTTTTAGACCTGCAAGAAAGAGTTGTGTTTTTGAAATGGCATTATAGATTGTGTTCCCACATCGGGTGGAGAGAGGGTATTGACAATTCTTTCACACATTTCCCTTATGGCCCTTTTGTAGAACTCCCACAACGCTGTGCTATTGATGGAGCAGCTCACTGACAGTTCATTCTCCTCTTCTCTGCTTTCAGCACTGCCATCCTTACTCACCCCCTCTTTTTTCCACACTTCGATACTATTAGTAGGCCGTGCTCCCTGAGCCTTTATCTGATAGGAGTACGTTCTCAGCCCTACACCCTATCACTGCACAAATAACTATTATCAGGACCGGTTTCCTGTTATGGGCCAGCTGGCTTCCATGGCATTTCATATGAGATTTTTCTTAACATCACTGAAACTTTACAGGGCCCCAGCCACGCACTGTCATATCCTGTCCTGCTGTGCTTCTAACCCAGAGTTTTGTGCTTATCTGCCACCGAAACCATTAGAAAGCCTGGTGAGGAGCTAATGAAAAACGAGAGTTCAAAATGACTGGTCATTCAGAGAGAATGAGCTAATAACTAGTTGTCAGACAGAAGGGGTAATGCAGAGGCTGAGGTGGTGCAAGGAGGTTTAGCAGATAGACGTTTTATTCTGAGAAAGTATGTCAGACTAACAGAGGCTGTTAAATTATAAGCTTTGGGTTGAGGCCGGTACAATGATTAAATACATTTTCATGTCATCTGCCAAATGGAAAGTGTCTGAGGAAAAAACAGCAAGATGGCATTTTAAGCAATCCAGCTGAGCTGTGGCATTTTGGATGTTGAAGAGTGAACAACTTTACTAAGCGCTGACAGGAACTGGTAATTGGTGTTTTCTGTTAGGCTTTTCAGCAATAATTATATTGCCAGTTGTTGGTCAATGCACTTGTTTACCTTCAATCACTGTACTGAATTTTTCTCTGACACCTGTCTGGACTTTTTAACACACTGACACGCAAGCTCTGGTTGAGGTGGATTGTGAAACAGCATCTTCCGTAGTAAATCTTGCAGGATTGTGCGCCATTCAGAATTAAATTAAGAGCCTTTTGAATTTCAACTAAATATCTTAATTGACTTTAAGGTAGCAAACATGATGCAGAATTGTAATTTGTATATATAATATTATAAAATAAATATAAAATGAGTTTTAGAAAAAATCATTTAAATTTAACTTTTAACTAAAAAGTTTTGTCAAAGTTGATCAAAACAAGCTTGAAAGCTGGCTTGACAAAGTGTTGTCTGAAAGTTTTGAAAAAAGTTTAAAAAACCTTGAATTTAGAAAGTTTATAGAACTCACAGACAAACAGATACCTTATAACGAACTTTTCTGGACCAGGATGGGAAACACTTAATTTCCTAGAATGCATTATCTATGTTCAATTTCCTCATTCTGTCATTCCAGTCAAATTCTAGTTAAACTTTGTAGAGAGTGGCCAA